CCCGCCCCCCGCCTCATTCGTGCTGGGGATACGGTAAAATTCATCACACATGCTTTAACCCTCTGATGAGCAAATAAAAGCCCGATTAATAGGTTCATTATTGTGACTTAGGTTGGTGGGAAGGAGGGCTTACTGGGTTTAAAACCATGCAAACGCAGTTTGACATCTTGGGACAAAATGGATTAAAATTCTTTTCAAGTCCAGCGGCGTTACCAGTTTTTGATCATCGAACCAATCTAACCAAAGCGCGCGATCTCAACTTGTTTACACTGCTTAGAACAAGGGACAGAGTGACTGGGCATGGGTCTAGTCGTCTTTCTAACTAGCTTATCAGGGATCTAGCTTCCTACCCCTTTCATTTCTTCTTAATCGAAGGAGCCCGTTATTTCCTTTTGTCAAATTTTGTCAATTTCTGCTTGTCGTCGTATTGACAGAGACGAAATGTAATGATGTCGTTAATGAAGTAATCAACGAATGACTTAACTCCAGACTTGAAACAGTGTGCTCAGATGAAAAACAAAATTAAAAAAAAAAATGCTGTCGTGAATGGATGGAGAGGGTTATTTTTGTTGTTTTTTTTTTTTTTTTGTCTAGTGTGTTGGAGAAAATTTCTACACCCTGGCAGATCCCCAGAAGAATGAACGGTTTTACGAGACTCTAATAAGTTGATCACACACAGCTAGTGGGGAAGAGGCTAACTATAAAAGAAACAAAGATAGTGACAATGGATATTTTAAGGCTGTGACACATAGAAAAGCATGCTTACTGGACAAGCAATGGATACATAAAAACGAAGCTGCTTGGGTAGTGTTGTTTAGATGTCGGTTAGGGAGAAAAATCTTGCCTAATTTTATTGAAAAAAGGGATACATCTTTCTGGAATGTGCGCGACGAAAGATATTGTTTTAACTTTCTCTTTTTCTTTGTTTATGAATTTCACTTCGTAGTGTCCGGGGTTTTATTTTGGCGCCAGGAATTTGCACAAATACAGTCGCCTACCATCTATAAACCAGATTCCATTGATTCAAGCTGAAGTGAGTTATAACAAATTCACGGCCCGATTTAATGTAATATTATTTTAAATCAAAATCAGACAATGCACCTTCTTTCTCCAGACATGCGCAAACATTGCAGAAACATGCACGAAAGCAGACGCACTCTCTCTCACACACACAGAGGCGCGCGCACTCTCTCACACACACACGCACACAGAGAGACACACAGTAAAACAGACTCTCTCTCTCTCACACACACACACACACACACACACACACACACACACACACACATATATATATATATATATATATATATATATATATATATATATATATATATATATATGTTCCTCGTATTGTTGAAAAAAAGAACACAGATGTGTTAAAAAATTCCGACTTTAAATCTATCTCTTAGTGCTTCGGTTCACTCAATAGGTTCATGTGAAATAAATACCGATTTTAACGATAACATTTGTAAATTTTGTGAGCTTATTGTCCTTCAAATTTCATTATTTGTATTATATATATATATATATATATATATATATGATACAAATAATGAAATTTGAAATTGGATAAAAGCCACACGCAGGATAAACAACTCACGTTTGTTTTGATCACTTTGAAATGCTTACATATATATATATATATATATATATATATATATATATATATATATATATATAGTTTAAGATCTGCTATATTTTTATACATTTGAATTAAATAGTCACTTGTCATTTTCAATGCGATCTTCAGGCGAAATGTCGCTACTTTACCGCATTCTGAATATATAGCGGATCTCGCTATATAACTCACTTGGTGAGTTAGTGAAACGGAGGAAGATGAATTTAGAGCTAAGTCTTAATTAAGGTCATAGTTAATTATTTATGTTGGTTCAATGGTTGGAGGAAGTGTATGTAAAACTCCTCGGTCACCAGATTGTTGACATATTTATTATTTTATTCATCACTAATTTTAATTTAGGGATTTATTGTGTACATTTTTCTTACGTGAAATTTACTTAGTTATGTGTTCCGTGTTTCCAATAATTAATTACATTTCTCTTACGCGATTTATATAATATCTTTTGTCATAATCTGTTAGTAGGTAGCGAAAGAGAGAATTGATTTCGTACCTACATTTGGAAATGAGTTTTGATCATTCGTTCTAACTATCTGTCTACACACACATGTAAATATATGTATATTTATGCATATATATACACACACACACATATATATATATATATATATATATATATATATATATATACATAATCATGTGTGTGTGTATATATATATATATATATATATATATATATATATATATATAATTTAATTGATATTATACACATGTATATTTATAAATAAAATAGAATTGCAAACTAATTGTAAAAAACAAGAATATTAGCATAAAAATTTCCACCGAATTTTTATTAACTTAATATATATGTATATGTATATATGCAATTTAAATTATTAATTATTCAGCAGAAATATATGTAAGCCACACGCAGGATTAGAAAACTCACGGTTGTTTTGATCACTTTGAAATGCATTTCACTTTTATAATACAATCGGAAATATCAACATGGTCTACACCCACACACGCGCGTGCGAGTGCACACACTCACCTATACACACACATATATACCTTTCTTCCGTTTGTCATCCCTTCTGTTCCTTCACCTTGCTTTAAAATTTGCTTTGGTTCATTTTATTTTATTTCATCTTATTACCTTGATTTGTTTAAAAATCCTTGCAAGGGAATCTTAAATTGTAAGGGGAAATCATCATAACTATGAGGTAAATTTAAATTTCTATTGTATGTAATATATATATATATATATATATATATATATATATATATATGTATATATATATATATATATATATATATACATATATACGCGAAAAGCTAATTTTAAGGGTTTACATTCTACACAAGATATAAAATTAGCGTATGTACTGTTGGCCTTGGCTATGCCGTTGATCAAACTATATATCCATTTACTGTAGTAAAAATAGTACAAATCTATTTAAAATAAACATGATTCTAATAAAACTGATGTTTTAATTAACTGTATCTAATAATAATGTATGTAATATTCACGTATTTGTATCGTATTTTGAAATACAATCATAACGGATATGCATGTTTTTCACTGCTTACAATTACAAGTTTTAATCATGTGTCACTAGCGGTTGCGTGAAAATTAAAAGCGAGAAATAATTAAGGCGAGAAGAAGCTATCACGAAATACATACTCAACGATGTTATTTTTTTTAACAAATAAAAGTGGTAAAGATTTTATTTTCATTTGCGAAAAAAAGGGATTTTTATTCGCGAAAGATAGGAAATTCGTAAGATCTCGGATCTGTCGGAATTAATTTATGCTACGACGCGGCGTAAAAAAAGATAGCAATCTGCCCATGGCAATAATGAAAATTTCAAATTGGTCAAGTCACCTACAAGGCAGAGTGCTAAAAGATAATGGATGCGACCGAAAAAAAAAGATCAGTTTAGACCACCCACAAAGAAAAAAAAAGGGAAGGGAAAAGGGAAAGAATAAACCATTAACTATCTTTCGGAGATAGCACTTGGTTTTGGGAAAAGACACCTCATTTATGTCCAGACCTGGACATGATAAAAGTTTGTTACCGGGACAGATAATTGACGACAGGGTGCGAAGACGTTCGGTTGACCACCCATTTAACGCCTGGCGAAAATCTCGTTGATAAATTCCAGATAACTTTCGGTTAAGATAAAGATTAAGGACTACACTACGTGTCGTAGGGGTCTGGTGGAGGAAAAGAAAGAAACGAAAAAAAGGGAAGATATATTTTTTTTTCCTTTGAGCGATAATTTTAAACTGAGGCCAGGTTGGCCACACCCGCGTCATTGGCTAAGTGGTGGCGTGAGCGGTGGGCGCAGGTAAACATATGAGATGGTGGGGAGGCCTGTTGACGCCTCTGAGGGTATTGGTGTGAGATACCACTATGAGAAAAAAGGGAAACCTGTTGACGCCCCCTGTGGGGATTGGTGTGAGATACCAATATGAGAAAGGAAGAATTTGGGAGGACGATTCCCTTAAGAACCCCTCTAAAGCAGAAAGTAATGTACTTCCAAAAATGGAAAGTGATAAATTTTCTTGTCCGAAAACAAAGAAAATCCTTATTGTGGATATGGAATTATCGAGGAACCCAAACCACGACAGGCCCACACCCGGTTTTGGTCGGCGTCCTTATAAACAGAGTCGCAGCTCGTTGGAGAGTGGGAGTTCCGAGAAGACAGAAGACGCGGCCAGACGCAAACAGAGTTGAGCTGTGAGCTCGCAGACCAGCATCGCAGGAAGGTGATTGAAAGATATCCACGCATTCCGACTTAGACTTCTAACCAAAAACAATTTATTTTTGAAGAACGACTTAGACGCACACCACCAAAACAAGTTTTACGAATATCACCTGAAGATACCAAAAAACAGTTATTGAAAAACAACTTAAGATATTACGACTCGCCTAACAAACGCAAAGTGGCACGTATCCATAGAAGAGGTTCGGGAGAAAGATGCAGTCCTGTATTCAGCAACCAGAGATAAAAATATTTGTTATTATTTTTTAAATCTTTCGAGTTGTTACTTTATTTTCTTTTACATATACTTGTGCGATGTCACTTTTGCTCGAATTCGGCTTGCATTACGGCCCGGCGACTGATTGATTTCGTCTACCTAAGATCAAATCACAACGTGGGGAGGTTAGACTAGAAATCAAAGTAGTTACTTCGGTAACCAAACGTTGGAGGCGAGCTGGGAGCGACAAAGCTGATACCGAATCTAACCAGATTCCCATCCGAATCAATCAAAGGTTAGAACGTCACATTTGGCGCCGCGACAAATACCAAGTCACATTGGTCGTCACAGGATAGCACGGGGGCTGAGAGGCCGGGGTGACGTCACAATCATAAGGATATATAAAATAAGTAAATAAAAAGAAAAATAGCATAAATTAACAAAGAAAAAGAAAGAAAAGGAAAAACAAAAGAAAGAATGAAGACGAGTACAGGTATAAATTAAAATGAAACATAACGATAACTAATGTATATAAAAAAAATACGAAAGAAAGCAAGAAAGAAAGTAATAAAGAAAGAAAAAAAGGAATAAAGAAAGAAGAATTAACAATAATAAAAGAAAGATGAGAAACAAAAAGAAGGAGGGAACTTGAAAAGTGGAAATCGATATGGGAGAACCTAAAAGCTGAAACAAAAAATAAAGAAAGAAAGAATGGAGAGAAATAAAAAGAAATAATAATATATACGAATATAATAATGATTACGATGATTAAGAAATGAAGAAAGAAGGAAAGAAAGAATTAAATGAATGTACAAATGTAGAAAGAAAGAACTAAATCTAAAAGTAATCTTAAAAAAAAAACATATAAGAAGACAAGTGAAAAAAGAAATCAAAAGAAACAAGAAAAATAAGGAAAGGAAGGCTATAATGATGAACAGACAATAGGAAATTAAATGATTTGAAAAAAAGAAAAGCATACTGGAAAGAAAGATGAGGGAAGATAAAGAAACGTTCGAAACGAAAGAAAGAAAACATTAAAATTTAAGCGATAATAATGAACAGGAAGAATTAAACGAAAAGAAAGATTGACAGAGCGAAATAAGTAAAAACAGAGAATGCCTTAAGAAAGAAAGAAAGAAAGAATTAAAGAAAATGAAAGAAAGAAAGATGAAAGGAAAAAGGAAACGATATAAAAATGACATGAAAGATGCGAAAAATGAAAAAAAAGAAGAAAAATTGAAGAGTGAGTAACAAAGAATGAAAGAAAGAAAAAAGAAATAAATAAGGAAAAACAGAAAACATTAAAATGTAGACAATAATCTCCAAATAGAAAGAATGAATTGAAAAGAAAGAATGATGGACGGGAAATTTTGAAAAAAAAGAGGACGCTGTAAGAAATAGATCAATGAAGAAAGAAAGAAAGAAAGAAAGAAAGAAAGAAAGAAGAAAAGAGCTATAATAATGATTTACATCTTCCCTTTTCCATCTTAAAATGAGCTGAAAAGTTATAATATTGGTTTGGAAATTTCTTCTTTGGCATAGGGTTAATAACCGATAAAAAGCTGTCAACTAGCTTGGTGGAATGACACATTCATAGGCACGTGATTCATTTGTGGATCGGGTAGAATATCGAAGGGTGGTTATTGGAAATCCATTTTGCATAATACATACAGGTCGAATGCGTGCCTCTGCATATCAAGTGCTTGAGAAATCATTTGGGTGTGTGATTTTTATTAAACCTCGCAAGAAAAATAATTTTAATGAGGAATATTGAAACAGCACGTTAGAGACATCACCCGAGAAATTGAAAATATGTAAAGAAGAGATTAGAAAGAAAAGGTTACTTCTCGTGATAATGACGGGGGAAATAACAGTGATCATAACAATGGCAACAAACAAAAGGCCGAACAGTGGGATATTTTTTAAAGCGGAAAGCTAGACTGAGAACTAAAGAGACTAGAACGTAAGAGCAAACTATATAGCAACTGTTTTTAGATCGGTGGGAAAGTTTTCCCAAAAGACGATTTGTTTATTGATATTTTTTACGGATTATCAAATCGTTTCAAATTAGATTATTGAATATCGAAATATGTTTCGGATTGTAAGATAAATTCCTTTCTTTGCGAGTGGATATTGCATTAACAGTTTCTATGAGAATAACTGATTTTTCCAGATATAAATTCAAATATTACGTTTTCACACACGGAATGAAGAATCTTTTGGTTGGCTGTCGATCTGGTCGTCTAATGAAGTAACCTTCTTAGGATATAAGCAAACAAGACTTATCCCTAACTTTTTCTTTCCAAATAATAATCTTTCATTATATTGTTACTCATAAATTAAATAAAAATGATTACAATGAGACAATGTCAAATAATCTTACTGTATGAGTACAAACTGGATCATTCTGTCTCTGAAGCGTTTTGGAATATCAAGGCGGTAATGGTATTCTTGAAATCAGAACTGTACAAAAATGGTTTCAGACGTTTTGTTCGGGAAATTATAGTCTTGAAAATAAACCAAAGGGAAGACCACGATTGGTTATCAGACATGGCCAACAGAATGCTTTGGTATATCAAAATCATAGAACTACAACCTGAAAACTTGCATCCGAACATCTCAAAAATGTCTCTCCGCAAATGAAAACAATTAGAAAATGAAAGAAACTGGATTGGTTTGTTACGCATGAACTGAATGAGACTAAAAAAAAAATTGCCTTGAGCTGAAAAAAATGAACTATTTTTGCATCGAATCAATATATTCGATGAGAAATGGACGCACTTTGACAATAGTAAGAGGGTAAGACAGTGGTTAAATGCAAGTAAATTCCCAAAACTATACGCCAAAACTCCACTACACACTAAAACGTTAATCGTTACTGTATGGTGGTCTTCCAAAGGAGCTAAATATTATTTATTCTTGCCTCAAGGGAAATCAATAACAGCAACTTGGTATTGTGGAGAAACATCCTAGACTTGTGAATAGGAATGACCCAATTTTATTGTACAAAAACGCACGGCCACACGCTTCTCAATGAAATGTCCCAAATCTGCATAGCCTGAATTATGAAATTTTGTTTTACCCTCCATATTCACCTGATATTTCCCTTACTGGATATCCCTTATTTAAGCTTCTCATATGCAAGAAGAAACATTCTCCAATACGGAAGAGGTTATCGCAAAATCTGAACTCTTTATCACATCAAACGATGAGATTTTATTGAAAGATGGAATTAAAAAATTTAGAGGTATTTTAAAGTATGGGGCACCCAGTGAGGATCGAATTCACTAGTCGGTCGTAATTGATCTAGCAAGACAAGCTTTCTAACCATTACACCACGTCGAGGTGCCCACATCCAGCAAATATAAAACTTGACATGATAGAATGGGCAAATATATGCACTAGAAAATCTGCAAGAAAGAAAACTGCAAGAAACTGGCATGAACACCATGCAAACCCGGTTAGAGAGAAAGAACCTGTAACAATTTCATGGGACTTTACAATACGCACAGAGGGAACAGTCTAGACTAATAGCCCAGACACAATGATCAAAGACCCAAAACAGAATACACTTTTTTTATTGATAGCCCCTGCAGATTGTAATGTATCTTTGAAGGACCTTAAAACGTTATCAAAATACAAGGATCTTGAGAGAGAAATCTCATAATTATGGTACATGGGGACATCAATAATTCCAGTTGTAGTTGAAGCTCTCAGAAAACTGTTCGATAGACAAACTGAAGGGATTCCTGGTAGCCCATACTTAAAGAAATACAGAATAAAATTATACTCACATCCACCCCACATGCTACGAAGAGATTTATCTATGTAAAATGTGTGATAATAAGTTCGTCTTTTTTTAATAAAAAATGATTAGTGAAAGATGTCATGAAGTCATTTCTTTGGAAAATGTGTATGCGGAAGAAAACCAAGGAAATAACGATGATGATGATGATGATAGTGCTAGAAATCGCAACAATGTGGTATTTCGATACAATTAATATTCCAATGTTAATAGGATCACTAGGAAGGATTAAAAACAACACTGATACGCGTATTAAGAAAATCCCAAGAGACACATACGTGATGTAAAAAAATTTTGTACATGTGCAGTTGGTCGTATACCCCCAAAATATCCATTAATGTAATAACCGTTCTAATTGTCGAAGAAAAATCTTCCTCTCCCTCAGATAAAATTTTTGATAAATGATTTTATCCAACAGCAAATCAGGAATAATAATAATAATAATAATTCCTCAAAGAGAGACAAAAGATATTCTGACAAGTACAGCCCACACTTTCCGAAGGGCTTTATCTATGTATTTTTTTTTTCTTTTTTGGTCAGTGGAAAGTGTCATGATACCATTTCTAACCTTAATTCTCTGGGAGTGACTCGGAAAGAAATGTGTAAACGCCAGAAATCAAAGAAAATAAAAATAATAATAATAATTGCACAGAATGGATCTGATAGACATTGCGATACCATGGGATAAGAACATTGATAAGCCGAAGCTGGAAAAATACAGAGGTATGAAGAGCTGGTAGGAGAAATTATAGAAAATCAATAGCGTAATTTATCCATTTTTTTTTTGACGCAATCGGGGCTGTTAGCGGGAATCTTTCTCCCTTGCAAGATTCCTTATGGATATCTGACATTACTGGAATTGCACAAGTGTCAGCAATGCCTGGATAAGCTCCTGGGCTGAGGATACAGGTTACAGTTTTCTTTATGCTATTAAACCCATATATTGTGGGGCTAAGGGAAGAGATGTGTTCATACATTTTCCATTTGTATTTGCGTGTAACAAACCAGACTGGAATTCGATCTCGGGTCTCAGATTTCTCATTGCCAGCCTTTATACATTACACTCCATTACACATGATGGTTGTTAGATATTTACACACTAACTTTATATTTTTACAGAGAACAAAAAAAAAAAAATTATATTCTTTAAGAAATATTTTTTTATATTTCTTGGGTCCCTGTTGTATAAATGTGTCTTCTTTCTTCTGTTTCACATAAATAATGACAGAAATAAAATGAATACACGAAAAATGATATTCAGCATGAGCACGCATTCTTTAAAAAGAATGTCAGTTGGAAAAAGAAAGATTCCAAAATAAATGATTAGCGAAAGTTGAGAATGAAAAAGTAAAAGAATAAAGTTCAAGGGTAAGACGTGCAAATAGATCTGAATTGAGCAAAATACAAAATGCAAATATAGGAGAGGCGCGAATTAACAAAGGTAGTCACTGAAGTTAGGTGAACATCAAGAAAAGAAAGAATTACAATTCTGACAGATGACAAAAAAAATGATGCTGGGCTGGGAAAGAAGACCTTTCGAAACGCCAAGAAAATAATAATTAGCTCTTAAGGGATTTTGCAAGAAAATTAACCATGTCTAGATATGATTACGTGAGCATCCCTGTCTACAATTCAAATTTTAAAAAAAAATGCTCCTTAATTTAAGTCTTAGAAAGGAAGAAAAATTATTAAAGAAAAGGTAAAATATGAGATACAAGAGAAACGAAATAAACTCACAACGGAAAAGAAATAATGTCACGTGGTCAGTAAATTTAACAAGCAGAATTTACTAATTTTATTATTCAAGGAATTTTTTTTAAAAATCGAAATTTTTTTTTCATTTAAATTTTTAATGGTTTGGTATGTTCTGCAAGTGGAATTGAAGAGCTGAGTTCAAATTACAGATTATCGTGCCATATTGACTTTAGCATAAATGGAGAGGTCTAAACTCGTACAAAGAAATATATCTTCCATCTTTTGGGGTTGTGACACATTATATAAAAATACGTATATAACATTCTTCCATGTGTTGAAATTTTTTCTATGTTTGATAATGTTGAATTCAATTTCCTTGAACCTTCTCAACTTCGTTCCATTACAATGAAAATGCATATCGCTGAGTTTTTTTCTTTTATTCCAAATCGAAATGTATATAATTGACCATGCCTTCAGGAGTGTAACCTTACTCACCACGCTTTGACAACTGCAGATTAGTGAGGTCAATTAACAC